AGGGCCATTTGGGGCCCCTTGGGTGCATTTGGGGGGTCCCTGGAACCATCAGAGTCCKCCCTGGGGTGGTTTCTGGGGTCCTGGGGCCACTTGGGGCCCTTGGGGGCTGTTTAGGGGGTCCCTGGGGCCCTTTGGGGCCATTTGAGACCATTGGGGTGTCCCCGGGGCCATTTGGGGGCTCCCCAGGGCCATTTCGGAGCCCATCCCCACTGTGTCCCCACGCGTGTCCCCACGGGTGACACCACCATGTCCCCACGGGTGACACCACCATGTCCCCGCGGGTGACGCCGTGTCCCGGTCCCCAGCTCGAGAACATCGGCAACTTCCTCAAGGGCATCCGGCGCTACGGGGTGAAGGCCCACGACATCTTCGAGGCCAACGACCTCTTCGAGAACACCAACCACACGCAGGTGCAGTCCACGCTCATGGCGCTCGCCAGCCAGGTGCGTCCCGCCCGCCACGCGGCCCCACGCTGTCCCCAAGTGTCCCCAGGGGTCTCCATGGATCTCCAAGGGGGCCCCAAGCAGCCCCATGGGGTCCCCAAGTGTCCCCATGGGTCACCACACTGTCCCCAAGAGGCCCCAGGGGTCACCACAAGGGTCCCAAAGAGCCCCACGAGAGCTGGGAGGTCCCCATGGTGTCCCCAYRGGTCACCATSGTGTCCCCAAGTGACCCCACGGGTCACCTCAAGGGCCCCATGGGAGCTGGGAGGTCCCCACGGGTCCCCACGGGTCTCCACAGTGTTCCCATGTGTCCCCACCACATCCCTACGGGGCACCACAGTGTCCCCAAGGGGTCCCACGGGAGCTGGGCGGTCCCCATGGTGTCCCCATAGGGCCTCAAAGGTCACCACAGGTCGCCATGGTGTCCCCAGGGGGCCCAAGAGGTCCCCAAAGCGCCCTACAGGGTCCCCATGTGTCCCCACAGGTCACAACACGGGCCCATGGGAGCTCGGAGGTCCCSCAGGGTCCCCAAGGGTCCCCATGTGTCCCCCCATGTYCCCATCGTGTCCCCAAGGGTGCCCACATGTCCCCACGAGGTCCCAGAGGAGCTGGGAGGTCCCCACGGGCCCCGAGGGGGTTGGGGCTTCCCCAAAGGGTCTCCATAAGGGTCCCCAAGGGCCCCGGGTGTCCCAGGGCCGGTGGCCCCGGGTGACACGCGGGTCCCGCAGGCCAAGACCAAGGGCAACAACGTGGGGCTGGGGGTCAAGTACGCGGAGAAGCAGCAGCGGCGCTTCCAGCCCGAGAAGCTGCGCGAGGGCCGCAGCATCATCGGCCTGCAGGTGACAGCG